CAGCAGCACCAGCACCAGCACCAGCAGCAACAATCAGATACTGAAAAGTAAGTTGATGATGACCCATATAATGCATTTTTATAAATAAATAAATAAATAAATATAATAAAACATAGTATAGATCGAAATAATATCAACCAAATTTCTTTGTTCTTAATAGCCCTATTGTGTTTTAAACATTCTTCTTCTTCGCCTTTACATTTTCAAATTTCTTTTTTCCATTTTTTTTTTATTCATTCTTCTTCGTCTTCTCTTCCATTTTTTCTTCTTTATCTGTTCCTCTTTTTTTTTTTTGTTTTTTTCTTCTATCGTAGAAAGAATCAAAAAAAATTGGACTAAGCTTTGTGATGTTGGTCATCTACTTATTATGCAAATATCTTAACACATTCAAACAAAAGCAAAAAGTTTTTTTCGTCTCTTTATTTTTTCAGATAATTTTCTTTTTTTTTTTTTGTTCTTTCTGAGTGCTGTTTCTGCTGCTATTCACTTCTTTATTTTACGCTTAAGCTTTCAGCTTTGTTCTTCTTTGGTTTCAATTAACAAAAAAAAAAAATTCTTTAAACAGCAGAATAAAAAATGAAATAAAGAGGAGAAAAAAAAATAGTATATTTTTTGATAAACGGAAGATTTGAGTGGAAACAAAACCAGAAGAAGAAAAAAAAAAAACAAAAAAGTGTTTTCTCATCGTTTGCTCATCGGCGGCATCACAGAACAGCAATAGCAACAACGACATTCAACTGGTTAACAAAATGAATCTGAAGAAGGGTTATAGCAAATACACTGAATAGACTAACTGCTTTTGTTAGCTTTAATAATGAACTTTGACAAATTCTTAAGTCTGATCGACGGGTCTGTTTTGAAAAACGGATAAAACTTATTAATTACAGTTATTTTTACTGTTGATTGTCTTTCTGTTAGATCTTTATTTGTATCTTCTTTTTTTTTTTTTGATTACTTTACTGGGATAGAAAAGATGTCTTACTGTGGATGAAAAACAAGAAAAAAAAGAGAAGAAAACAGGGGAATTAAAGTTGAGG